GCGATTCGGCCGCCGAGAACGTGCACCCGCCATAGAGCGCAGGATGAAGCTGACCATCGTGATACTGGGCGAGGACCCATCCGGCTCCATGGAGTGAGGAATCAACAGAGAGTACGACCAGCCCCTCGATGGCGCCCTTCGCGCTGTCCACTTCTTCGCGGGTGATAGCCAGCGCTGCAGGGTAATCGATGGGCCGCAGCACAGGTGCCGATGACACGAGCTTCTTGAGGGAGTCCACGGCGCCGCGAGCTTCGGGAGACAGCGTGAAGCGGTCGGCGGGATTTGATCGAAGCAGTAGCGTCAGTGGCTTAGCGATGAGCGCGAAATTGGGGATCCATCGCCGTCCGACGCCGGCAACCCCGAGGAAACTGCGCACGTCGGTAAGAGACTCCGGGTACGGCCATTTGAGTACCTTCGACGCGAGGCCATGGCTCAACTCCCAGCCCGCGTGTGACACGATGCTCCCCACCAGACTAGCCTTTGGTGTCGCAGGGCAGAACTTGTAACCGGAGGCAGTGACGTGTGCGAGTTCGAAGCGGAACAGGACCCGGTCGAGCGTCGTGCAGTACTCGTAGATGAAACGCCGCACAGAGGAGGACGGGTCGATGAGTGCGTTGTCGTAGGTCGTGGGCGGGCCTTTGACTCCGCAGTCGTCGACGAAGATGTCGGCGAACTTGGGGATCTCATCTGCGAGGATGTGGCGGGTGCAACGTACGAAATCCGCGACCGCGTTGGTAGCGCCCTGCGGTAGCACAGTACAACGCCCAGTGACCTCCATGCACTGGAAGGTGGTGAGGTCCCGGGAGCGCACGTCCAGTGTCCGCGCGTCGTAGCCCGAGAAGAGGTCGATGACACCATAGCAAGAGAACCCAGCGAAACTTTCAGCAAAGTCGTCGGGGCGCGGAGGCAGGGCCGCATCGCGGATAGTGACCGCATTAAGGGCTTGCAGATCGTGGACGACACGGAGGGCACCGTTCTTCTTGCTGACGGCGAATACGCGCGAACGGTAAGAGGAACAGGAGCTTTCGTACTTGCCAGAGTTGAAATTCGAGGTCAGAATCGCGCGAACTTCGTCTTCCGCGGCTTTGGGGACGGGGATTGGCTTCTGCGCCCAGGGTGTGTGCTCGATGACCGGTATGACGTAGTCGGGGAAGTATTCCCGGTTGAACGTCCCACGCTCCGCATCCGTGAAGGCGAGTGCTGCGCGTCGACTGCCGATGATGTAGGCGATGAGGTCAAGCTCCGCTGCGTGGAGGAAGCCGTCAGGGATGGTGGACATGATGGTCTCGAGGCGTTCTTGGGTGAGGCGTTCACAGGGGACGAAGGAGCCACGGGGAGGCGGGTGTATGGGGAGAGGTGGTAGATCCGGAACAGGCAGAGGCTTGAACGTTTGTGCGGAGAGGTCTGGCATCGTCGTCGGGACTGGGCGGACTTTACGGGCAACGGGTTTGTACCGGCGAACAGGTGCGGCGAAGCGGGTGGGTGATGGGGCCAAAAGCGCACGAGACACGAAAACAGACGGGACAGGACGCAGCGGGAGATCGAAGGCACACTCGACAGTGCGCAGAAGTTGATCAAAGGAAGGAGGGGGGTTGAACGATGAGATGTATGAGTCGTTGAAAGAGTCCGTGTGGAAGGAAGGATGTCCGAGAAGAGTACGAAGGGTGCGACCAAAACAAGGTAGCGAGGGCGGCGCCGCACCGGTTGAATCCGCGCCCGCTAGTGAAAAGACGCTGTCGGAACCGTCAGGGAGTCCGACGTGAACACGAGACGATCAGTGTTGCGGGAGTTGTTCGCCGTGCATAGCTGAACCGTCACAGCAACGCCAGAAGTCGATCCAGTGGGGTACGCTGTCATGTGGACACCACCGTCGCGCGAGTACGTGAGGTTGGCCACGTGGGCTGCGAGCCAAGGTTGCCCAAGGATGCCGCCATAGGCACTGCGGTCTGCCGGAGTGACGAAGAAGTGGTGGTCGAAATTGCGGCCCGCAATTTGTACCGGGGCTTCTCGACAGCACCCCAGGAGGGAAACAGGGTCACCTCCGATGCCTTTGAGGGTCCAGCGAGCCCCGTCGCGGTCGATGGAGAGACGAGTCTTCTCCCAGATCCCGCTGTTGATGAGGTTCAGTTCGGATCCACTGTCGACGAGGAATTTGCACTTCTGATCGCCGAAGACGCCGTCGACGAAACCTGCAGCCATGGCGAACAGACGGGCGGACGTAGATGGCGCAGTGCTCACCGCGTCTGCATAGCGAAGGATGACGTCGTCAAGGAGTTCGGAGCCCGCATTGTAGGTAAGAACCGCTGTCGCAGAGGGTTCATCGGAAGAGTTGGACGTGCAGTCATCGTCTGAAGGGACTTCCTCGATGAACGACGCGGGAGTGGTGTCCGTGGCGAAGGCCGAAGCAGTCGCGGGCACGTCAGACCCAGAGAAGTCCCGACGGGGCTTGACAAGCGCGGCAACCTTCTTCTGTAGGCTGGGGGCTAGCGCCAGAGCCTCTCGAAGCGTCATGGTAACGGGGGAGTCGAGGAGTCGGTCGTGGACGTCATCGACTACGACGCTCTGCTGAACCTCCGAAGTGAACTTGAACGGCTTTGAGGTCGTGCGTGAGAAGGTATGGTGCCGAGGCGCGTCAGCATCTGGCACTTCCTCGACCGTCGCAGGGTGCTTCTTCAGACGGTACTCCTGCATGAAACCTTCCTCCGTGTTACGAAAGTGTGGGGGTGGCGCAGAAGGGGGGAACGCAGGGGTAGCAACAGGGAGAGTGGGAAGTGTCGTAGGCTCGAAACGGACCGTCTTGGAGGGCGAAGTCGCCGCCTTTGCCTTTGAACGGGTGGTGACCGGGAAGGATGACGCGGCAGCGGGGAACGCGTAGGAGCCTGTATACGGAAACGCAGGCTCATCGTCTAGGTAGAGACCGGCGGCGCGCGCGGTAGCTCCGAGGACTTGCGCGTTACCGCTCTGTGACCGCATCCACGCAGCGAGACCCTGGGGCAGTTGGTTGAAGCGTGGGAGGTAGCCCTTGTCCGTCCGCTCCAGCATTCCGGTAACAGGGTGGTACTGCAGGACGCGTTCCTGTATGAGCGCAGTCGTCTCCGGACAGTTCCGCATGCCAAGTGGGTGGGTGAGTCCGTTGTTCTCGACACCGCCACACATGTAGCACACTCGCTGACCAGGAGGACCGGCGTTGGGGCCATTGGGCTGAGCGGCGTACGCGGTGGGGTACCCTGCAGGTAAGCCGGCGGCGAATGGGTTAGGAGCGTTCCCGGTGCCGTGCACCCCCGCATACACGTTTGAAGGGCCTGCGAGAGGCGCGAGCGGGCCCGGGTCTGAGTGCGTCGGCGCGGAAGTCTGCTTCTTGAGTAGCTCGAGCTGAAGACGGAGCGCCTTCACTTCCCTACGCGTGGACTTGTGGCCGCGCCGCGTGGAGCGAACCTCAGAGTCAGAGTGAGATGAGAGCCTGTCACGGCGCGTCTTCTTCTTGCCTTTGCGTTTCGGGGGTGAAGCCACATCGTCTCCGGACGAGTAAGGCGCATCCTCTGAGTCCGAAGAGTCTGTCGCGCTGTCCGAGCTGTCGCTTTCGGAGTCGGACACAGCAGCGCGCTTGCGGCGGCGTCGGTACGCGTCGATCCCGCAAGACTCGTAGTGCTCTGAGACCGCTGCGCAGACCTCAGAGACGGAGGCAGGGTTCGTCCGGGGCTCGAACTTCTAGCCAGAGCGAGTGAGGCACCTGTACCTCACGTTATCACAATCAATTGATCTGTGATCACCCCCCCGGGGTGATTCCCTTTCCGGTAACTGCGAACGGCTCTAAGCCTGCAAACCGTAGAGCCTCTACGGAAAACGATCAAGATACCTTGTTGGGAAACATTAGAACGGGGCGCATGCCCAAGTCCCCCGCCCCCCTTCCCCGACGTCCCCGAGGGCCCGGCCCAGCCCTCCTCCGCGCTTCTCCGATGCACGTGAACGGATCCCGCGCCGCGCCCCCTGATGGCCGCCTGGTCACCGCCTTCCGCCGTGCCGCCCGCCTTTGATGGCCGCCCTCTCCCCCCTGCTCGCCGTCCCCGACGACGAGCTCGCTGTTCGCGCTCTCCCTCCTGTTCCCCTCCCCCGATTCACGCCGTTCTTTTTTGTATGTACTTGTATTACTAATGCGCATCTATATACATAACTCGCCCTTCTGAGCCGTGCTCTGTGATGCCTCCACCGCCCACTGCCCCCCGCCACTGCCCCCCGCCCCCGCATATGGGGAGGGCGGGACCTTATGTCAGCATACTCAACGCCTGGGCGGCGGGCAGAACTCTGATGGCGCGGGCGCCGCGTGGACAGGCACCGCGGCAACGGTTGATGCAGCGCGCGAGGCCCGCGCCATCAGCGCGAGGTCCGCGCCATCAGCGCGAGGCTGCCGGCGCCGGCGCCTCAGACTCAACGCCTCCTTTTGATGGCGATCACGCTAGATTGCACGTTATAATACTATCACTAGAGGGATCGAAAGACTGACTGAGCTACCACCATGTCCTTCTCGCAGTCTGGCAGCAACCGAGTATCGGATGGAGTCACTATCATGGGCCCACGGAGCAGAAACAGGGGCGGAAAGAACAAAGGGCCGGGTGGACGTACCTCCAAGCAAGAGACAATCCGCGCCGTTGACCTGGATGCCGCGGACGATGCTGCGCGCAGGCGGCGTCACGAGCTCATCAACAGTATGTTCCAGAGCAGAGACTCAGCAGCTAGATACGAACTCACAAATGTAAAGATCTCAGCGGCTTAGATCGCGCGGCAGCAATGGCGGTCTTCGAGATAGACGAGACGCAAGGGCTCGACCTAGGAGACATCAGCAATACAGCAGACAATGCTGACATCGGCACGGGCGAGGACGACGACAACGACGGCGCTTGGGCCGACGACCCGGACGTCGAAGCTTTCCGTGTGGCTCTAGAAAACAACTTAACAACAGGGTGAGTACGTGGATCTATGACCAGGTGCAGAAATAACATATCATGTGCAGTGTGCGCACAGATGAGCGCACCTGGCGCGATCGTCTCCGCACGCGGGAAGACAACTGGAAGCAAGTTTTCCCGCGCGTGAAGGCGGCTTATCTGCGGTGGAAGTACCGTGTTCCAGGCCGGCAAGAGGAGCGCAAGCGCAAAGCACCTGAAGAGAATACACCCTCGGAAGAAGGGGCACCATCTTCAGAACACACAGTTGTGTGTGTCGATCTGTACAGCCTGCGGAAGGAGATCAGCGTGGTTGTATCATCTGGCCAGTGGACAGTTGAGGCACTTGCCTTGGCCGGATATCTCGGCAACACCCCCGTCGGGCCGTCGATCGCGATATCCTTCGAGACGCTGGAACTGTTCCGGTGCCTGAAGCTTGTTAAGCCATCCTTCAGCACAGAGGCTTTCGCAAAGCTCGTTTGTTACAAGTATTATGTGAGTCTCTTAATAGCGCCAATATGGGTCAGGCTTACCTGGAAAAACCAGATGGTATACCGTCGGCACTATCGCACAGCACTTGCAGATGCTTTTGACATATATTTAGAGGTTCTCGATGACGTCGACGCCGAAATTCAGGAGTTGCTCGGGCGCGGTGATCCGAACTGGCGCCCACGCTTCGGATGCCCGCCATGTGGATACAAGGTGCGTGTTCTTTGGTCTATGCCGATAGAGCGCCAATAGCGTACCTGGCTGACGAGTTCTCACACAGCTGGAGGGAGAAGTCCCCCTCCGCTTCGACCGAACAGGTAGCATGGATGCAAACAACTCGCTGAAGAGGCTCTTACGCAAGTATCGAAATGTTGGGGACCGGCGAGTTCACAAGAACCCCTACTACCTGCCCCCAGCGTTTGTTGATCAATTTGCGAAGCAAGTCCCGGCACGCCAGGCACAGCCGAAGCCGACTGCGGATCTTGGAGGCGATGGCGATGACGTCGACGGCACGGACCCGGCTCCCGCGTCTGCCCCGGACCCCACTGATACGGAGGGAGATCCTACGGATGGAGAGGCGGGCGCCCCAAGCCCGTGCGCCACGAATTGGAAGGCAGCGGCTGCGGACGAGAAGAAGAAGCTGTGGGGTGGGTTCGACGAGACTGGGATTTTCGCGAGCGCGTGCAGGCACGGGAGGATTCTCTGGATCGCGGACATGATCCAGAGTGGTGAACTGTAAGTGGTGATGGCTGCGCAACGCGCGTACCTGACGGATCATTCCCAGCGCCAAGTACGGGATCGCAATGGTGGACAAGATCAACACCGAATTGCCCGGCAACATTCTCCTTGGGTACGACATCGGCTGTGTCTTCCAAGGTACCCTTGCACGGAGCAGCGCCGGTCCCGAGTTCCGGAAGCGTGGTTCACTCTGCATTGTCAACGCTTTCCATGGGTACTCTCATTCTTACCTGTGCCAGCTCCATCACCATCCAAACGTCATCACGGGCGCTGGCATCGAAGATCTAGAAACCATGGAGCGCATTTTCAGCGGATCAAACGCACTGGCTTCGATCATCCGCTACGCGAGCAAGTACCGCCGGCACGCTCTGATCACCCTTCACTTCCACCGGTGGGATGAAGACAAATACACAAATCTCGCGATCTTCCTTCGTAACAACTACCTCCAGGCAATGAAAATTGTCGAGGAATCCGAGGAGTTCCTGCGCACTGTACTGCCTCAGCTCCAGCTGACGGAAGCGCAGCTGATCGAAGCTGCGGAGGAGGAGCGCGTTTATTTTTCGACACTGCGTGATGAAAATCCGGATGACGAGTGGGCTCTAAGCTATGTCGAGCGGCTAGAGGACCTAAGGGCGATGAAGTGCGTCCCTTTTCGGTTGTGCCGCGACGTGCCACTGACCTGCGCGCAGGGAGGAATACGAGCAGAAGACCCGCGCGGCCACAAATCGCGCGACCCGCAACCCCACAACCCGTGCTTTCATGCTCGGGCAGCGGCCACCGGGAGCCGCGCGTGAGGGCGCGGGGGCGCGGGCGCGGGCGCGGGGGGCGCGGGCGCGGGCGCGGGGGCGCGGGCGCGGGTGCGGGGGGCGCGAGTGCGGGGGGCGTGGGTGCGGGGGGCGCGAGCGTGGCAGACGCGAGCGTGTCAGGCACTTCGTCCTCCGAAGGCCCTGGGCTTTCGTTCCAGGCCCCATACACGGGCCCGATCACCGACTACAATGCACACGCTAGGGAGACGCGGCGGACCGAGAGCGTCAACCGCGTGTTGCGCACGCGGATCGACACCCTCGATCAGGAGCTAGCCGAGATTGAAGATACCTGGAACATGGCCCGATGGCTGCCCACTGACCCGCGCTATACGACAGCAAAGGCATACATTGCCACTCGGCGTTATCACCAGGCGCTAGGAAAGCTACAGCGCTTGGTCATTCAACGCCTCTTCGAACTCCACAAGTTGCATCTCGCACAGACAGGTGAGTGATCGCGTGATCATGCAAATGATCGCTGATTGAGCAGACATCAGGGTACAAAATGCGCACACACATCGCAAAGAACATGCAGAAGAGGTCATCCGCCATTCGGCGGGCGATCACGACGTACAACAAGGTGGCTGCCGCATTGCAGAAGCCCCTCGTCGACTGGAATCAGGTATCCCACTACTCGTTTGTTCGGGAGTTTGCGCTTCTGCATGGATCATGGAATGACGTCAGTGGGAAAACCTGGGCGCGGCCGGAAGTCCGGCAGGCGATCGGGACCTGGCGGCGCTTGCAGCGGGCCAGCGAGGAGATCCAGATCGTGTATCGTGATGCGCGTCGCCTCCACACACACATCCGCGACGAGCAGGACGACTTCGCCGCTCTCCTCAAGCAACTCAAGGATTCCAACGACATTCTCCACGGGCCGACCCTGGAGTTCATCCGTCACCGTGAGGCCCAGAATGCGTACAATCTGGCCTTTCTCGATGAATTACATAAGGACCCCCGCTTCGCGGGCGAAAAGACGCCGGGCCGCCGTGAGGGAAGAGCGGTCACCTCGGAGCACTCCATCCCCCGCATTTTCTCAGATCATGGCACGATCGAGACTGACATAGGGTCCGAGGAGATGTATGATGACGATGCGCAGGCTCAGGCAGGTGCGCTTCTCGATTACATAGCACAGTAGACTAGATCGCCACCGATACGCGCTAGCGCTCGTTGGAAACGGCTTGTATGTGGTACAAAAACATAGCTACATGTTACTCCCCTGTGTTTGAGGGCCTTAAAACGCATGTGACATAGTGTATTGTGTTTACTTTAAGTGCTCCAGGCAATATTTTGACCTGGATCTTACTGTGACGGTTTCAGCACGGTTTGTATACGTTTTGTGCACACTCGAGGCATGAGTTGCATGAGCTTCTGCACGCAACCTCGCCGCGAGCCATGCCATACTGATACACGCATCAAATGATGCATCAAATACCCGGGGCACACGCCGGCATGCATGACAAATGCATGTCAAGTATTAGTTTTCTGCTCGGATGTCGAGGGAATGCTGTATGGCATCCGAAGACCAACTTCGCGTGAGATCACAGCTGGGAAGCGTGGGCGCTAGTCTGTCATATCTTGCTTCCTGCCATCGATTGTCCCCTCCCCTTCGCTTCTTCTTCTCTTCGCTGCCTCTGCCACGCATGCACAACACATCAAACTCAGATCAGGCCCCCTTTCACGGCCCATGGTATGTCCTACTGGGCCCGAGTGCACACGCACAGTTGACGCCACGCATCATGAATACCCGGTGAGTTCTTCAATCGAAAGCGCTCTCACAGCTGTCATCCGCTCACCCACGCTGTACAGGCCACCTGTTGGGATCGGCAATGATCCCAACATCTACCCCATTGTCGTCTGCTGCATGGACCGGCACGACGCGGAGGCGATCGATGGTCTTAACGACTCCGTCTTCCGCATAACCCCGGCCAACGACGTGCATCTGGCGGCGTGGCGTGTGCAGGAGGCTCAGGTCCTCATACGCAACAAGTCCTCGATTTACGGTATCCGTGTCGCCCTCGCTGGTCGTCACACAGGGGTTTTTGTCGGGCTCTCTTGGTAAGTCTTGGCATATACAAATACATTTGGTGTATTGAGCTTATCATTAGGATCCACGTTGGCCTTCAAATCGGAGACGGCGACCCGAACGTCCAACGCAAGGGACGGTGCATGCGGTTCGACACGAAGGGCCTCTCCGTGGCGAACGCCATCGCGTACGTGATGGCGAAGCATGGCCATAACTTCCCCCTCAACTTCGACGCCGAAAAGCCGATCCCGGCCCCGCTCCGCTCAACGCTCTCGGTCCCCCGCACCCCTGTACGTGGTCGCGCCCGGCACCCTGGCACCCTCACGGTGTCGTCGCGAAGCTCCTGGTCGACTCCCACCCCATCGCGCGGTAAGCAGCGCGAGCAGACGCCTCTGTCAGAAGACGCGCTCGCGCACGGTAGGACTTTTCGCTCTCTGTCCTGACGTCGACTGATAAGCCATAGCTTTCACGCAGGGTGCGAGCATTCGGGATGACGTCGCGCCACCCGCGCGCGACCACAGCGACATCCAGGGCCTCAGTACGCTCGCCGCGGCTATCCGCACGCTCTTCATTCCCCCTGAGGAAGCCATTGGGGGGGACCGTCCGTTCCCTGTCGACCTCGGCCCAAGGGCTGAGCGGATTCTCGTGGAGCTCAACCCGGACAGCTCCGAGCTCATGATCATGCTACAGGTTTTTGCTGGTGCGTCCTCGCGCAAGGAGTTCGCGTACGACGGCTCCAAGTACAACGGCTGGGATGGGCTACGGCTAGAGCGTCTGTATGACGCCATCATGTATCCATCCGATAACGATGAGTAACCAATGGATCAACATTTTTTGCTAACTCCATCACGTGTTCCAGTCAACACACTCGGGCGGTGTTTTTCTCACTCCGCCCTGGGTCTCTCCCAGCAACCAGCCTCTTCGCTCCCACACCCCCGCTTCTATTCCCGCCCTCCCTGCGCTTCCCCCTTCCCGCTGCCGGCATGGCACGCGCCAGAGCAGACGCCCCCCGTCAAACAACCATAGCGGCATCGAGAAGTTACCTAAGGGTGCGCGCAAGATGGGAAAGCGACGCGTCAAAACACCATGGTCCTCGCACCGACGAACACGCCCGAAGCTTTCTTATGCGGAGAAGAAAGCAATTCGTGAGAAGTCTCGGCTCTACAAGAGCGCGCTCAGCGACCGGCTTGACACTATCCGCGATGAGGTTTGGGACCACGCCGTCGCGCTCCACGAGGAGCTGGGTAAGCACAGCGCGGCATGGTACTACCGACTCATTCTTCATCAGAGCAACTCCCGTTTCAAGGAGCCGCGAGCGCTGTCGCTTTGGAATGCGTTCGTCAGCAAGGAGCTTCGCCGGCACAACAAAGGTATGTTATGCATTGTCACCGTTGTTTCATAAATAACGCGCACCTGTCAGAAATGAACACGAACGACGTTGTGTCGTCTGAGTTCATCAAGAACCTCGCCGAACGCTGGCACACGATGTCGGAGCAAGACCGGGAAGACATGTGCCGCGATACGGTCGAAGAATTGACTGAGCGGCGTGAGGAGCGTGGGCGCGCTGTCCCCAACCTCCCCATCGCAAACTTCAATGATGCGCGCGCAACCTTGATAAGGGTCGTCCAAGAGGTGCGTCGCCCAGTTCCCTCCTACCCTCATGTCCTCCTCGCTTATGGCCACCCGCGCTGCAGCTCGATGATCTCCACGAGCGCACTGGCGCGGAGGTTCTGCTCATCGCGTGCCGTGGCGAGCGAGCCAACTACCTCAAGCCCTGGGTCTACCGGACCAGCGCGCGCATCGAGGAGTTTATTGAGCTGCTCACTGGCGCGACGTTGGGCACTCTGTCCTCGCGCATTGAAGCATGGTGCCTCACGGGACTTAATGGTACGTACATACAACACACGGTGGCTTCTTCAAGTGCTTATTGTGGTGTGGTTATGCAGGGTTGACGAAGAAGCACAAGAATACCGTCCTGGAGCTCAAGTCCAAGGTCGGTGCTCTAATCCTGGAGAAGCTTCGTAAGTCCCTGCCCTCTCGTGTTTTTCACTCGCTAACTGGTGTACTTAGAGTCGACGTCGACCCGGGGGAAACCCTCTGCAATGTCGTACAGTGACTTCCCCAAAAGAATTACCTACAAGCTTGGCGTCGTCCTCGAGAACTGGCCGCTGGAGTCATTCCAGGCCCCCGGCCGTTTCAACTCCCTCAAATTCCTCAACACGCTTCGCTCAGCCTGGGAGAACGACATCGCACGCTTCCGGTCACTCACCAAAGAGGAGCTCGCGGCCTGGCGTCAGGCTTACGACGCTGGTCTGAACCCAGTCGCTGTGACATTCAATGCAGACACTATCGCCTCCCTCCAGCGGCCAGTTTCCAACCCCGAGCCCACGATGTCTTCGCGTGCGGCCACTCCGACACCTGCGCCCACGCCCACACCCGCGCCCACGTCGTCCGCATCGTCCTCCACCATGCCCGCGTCGTCCCCCACCTTCACCGCGCCCTCGTCCCCTGCACCCACGCCCACACCCACGCTCTCGTCGCCCGCGCCCGCACCCTCGTCGCCCATACCCACACTCTCATTGCCCACGCCCGCGCCCTTGTCGCCCCTGTCCACGCCCTCGTCACCCGCACCCACGCCCTCGTCGCCCTTGCCTGCGTCCGCGTCTTCTGCTACGCCCGCGCCACCCTCACCCGTGCCCGTGTCTTCCGCTACGCCTGCGCCGCCCTTACCCGTGCCCGCGTCTTCCACTCCGCCTGCGTCTTCCGCTACGCCCACGCTGCCCTCACCCACGCCCACATTCTCTGCTGGGACCGCGTTCACCTTCGTTTTCCAGGCCACGCCAACGCCCATGCCCTCGGCGCCTCCTCTACCTGGCATGCCCACCGCCGAACCCCTCGGCGCCGTCCCCGACCCTTTTAACCATGTCGCGGGTGGCGTTCAGAGCGCGCTCCTCCCGCAGAAGGTGCCCCGTAAGCCCCGCAAGGATAAGGGTATCCCGAGGGGTCCCAATGCTCGGACTCTTGCGCGCCGGGCTGCCCAGGCCGGCCAGAATGAGAACACGGCTTGAGTGGCGGGGTCTCTATGATACTCTATGTACAATCTCATGTCGTATGTCTTAGTGGATACACGTACACTGTATCGATGTCAATGAACATGTGTGCCGACTCGTTCCCATCATCATGCCTGAAATATAGCACCATCAAAAGAGCTTTGATGGCAGACATAGAAGCTGCTGGTACACTGTGTCTACTAGTATACAGCACTCCCTGCAGGTGTTGGTAAGGTCTTCATGATATACATCCTTTGGTTTGACATCTCAATGTGAGGCAGCATCGGAGGAAAGTCCTTTTTCTCGATGGCCTTGACTGCCATCAAAAGGAGGCGTTGAGTCTGAGGCGCCGGCGCCGGCAGCCTCGCGCTGATGGCGCGGACCTCGCGCTGATGGCGCGGGCCTCGCGCGCTGCATCAACCGTTGCCGCGGTGCCTGTCCACGCGGCGCCCGCGCCATCAGAGTTCTGCCCGCCGCCCAGGCGTTGAGTATGCTGACATAAGGTCCCGCCCTCCCCATATGCGGGGGCGGCGGGCAGTGGCGGGGGGCAGTGGGCGGTGGAGGCATCACAGAGCACGGCTCAGAAGGGCGAGTTATGTATATAGATGCGCATTAGTAATACAAGTACATACAAAAAAGAACGGCGTGAATCGGGGGAGGGGAACAGGAGGGAGAGCGCGAACAGCGAGCTCGTCGTCGGGGACGGCGAGCAGGGGGGAGAGGGCGGCCATCAAAGGCGGGCGGCACGGCGGAAGGCGGTGACCAGGCGGCCATCAGGGGGCGCGGCGCGGGATCCGTTCACGTGCATCGGAGAAGCGCGGAGGAGGGCTGGGCCGGGCCCTCGGGGACGTCGGGGAAGGGGGGCGGGGGACTTGGGCATGCGCCCCGTTCTAATGTTTCCCAACAAGGTATCTTGATCGTTTTCCGTAGAGGCTCTACGGTTTGCAGGCTTAGAGCCGTTCGCAGTTACCGGAAAGGGAATCACCCCGGGGGGGTGATCACAGATCAATTGATTGTGATAACGTGAGGTACAGGTGGAGTGAGGACGACTGACTTCAGCGTTGACCCGATCGAGCTGCGGAGCGAGTCAGGAAGGCCGATGAAGAACAGGTAGTCGTGCTCTTTCTGTTCGAGGAGACTCTCTTCAACCAACGTCCCGCTGTACTTCATGAACGAGAGGCGGTATTCGCTGAGGGCTTCCTCCGAGTCGACGGTTTGATTCTTCCGGCTCTTGGCTGCGAACGACCGGAGACGTTGAGGTGGGTACCGCGTGGCAGAGTCGCGAAAACGGAAGATAGAGAACAGGAGAGCTTTGGCCGCTGCCCAGTCGGTCCCCTTGAAGGCGGGCTCGCCGGCAAGACGGTTGCGGATGTCCGACTCACAGTACGAGAGTACACACTTGGGGAGGTCTTCGCGCTTCGCACCGACACTGTCTGCGATGGTTTCCAGCTCGAAAAGGAAGTCCTTGACGTTGCGGCCTTTGAACCGGGGGGCGGTTTTGGCGCGGGGCGGGGGCATCTTCGTCGCAGGTGTAGACATGCTTGGTTGCGTGCGCAGCGGAGGTGGCGTATGAGTTCGAGTCGGCGATGAGGAAGTTGGCGAACGGGTTAAGGGCGATAGCGGGGGAGGAGAGAGAGGAGTCGATGCGCGCAACACTCTCTGGCGAGCAGTTGAAGTATCCTCCGCGCGTGCTTGATTCGTTCGGTTCTCCGGACGTGTGCTCAATCGCTGTGGTGCGCCTCGGCTGTTCGGCGGTAATGGCAGCGGTGGAGTTGGTTTGGCGGCGAGTCGTGACGATCGTCGGCCCGGGGCCGTCGGGATGTTCAAGTTTGATCTTACCGCGCTCGCCCGTGTTGTGGGCCTGGTATTTGCAGGCGCGAATGTTCCCCGTTCTACTGAAGGGTTGCCGCTTGAGCTCGCCAAAGGCATGTTGACTAAGTGTTGGAGTAGAACGAGTCCGGACGGGGACGAGAGAGACGAGGTTGCCCCCCTGCGGTGGTCACCAATTGTGGGGATCCCTTCGCGTAGTCTTCAGACCCTGTAGAAATGTTCGCGTTGAACGCGACTAGACTGAGCGCGACGGACGCGCGTTGGCTGATACGACGGATAAACGGAAAGACGGATACGACGGATACGACGGTTACACGGGCACGGATAAGACGGATGCGCAGGGGAGAACGGGCAGCGGACACGACAGAAACCGAGTGAGTGTGGGGGAAAGGAACTGACATTCTTCGTGTGTGCGTGCTACTTTTATACATGTGCAGGTACTACTTCTTCACCAAGTGTGCTCGGTGACTTCTGGCCGCTCGGACGACACGTGACCGTGTTCTGTCGCGCACGCGCGTGCTTCAGAGTGCCCGCGCGCGCGGGACTCCTACACCGAGGCAGAGAGAGGGGCGAGACAGGTGAGGTGAAGTGGGCAAGGTGGGCGCAAGGGCGGACGACGTGGATAACGCGAGGTAGGAGGGTGGACGGCGCCATGGCGGACGACGCGAAGAGCGGAGGGTGCAAGGGTGGACGGCGCCAGGAGCGCGAGGTGGACGAGGAAAGGGCGACGCGGGGCGACGAGGGGGCGAGACGGGCCGGGGCGAGGTGGCGAGGTGGACAAGCGCGACGCGGATGAGCGAGAGAGCGCGAGACGGCCAAGGCGTAGTTGGCACGGCCGGAACCTGGTAGGGGGAGGCAATGCGCAGAGCAGTGGGGGCGGGGGGAACTCACCAGAGGAGATCGGGGCCGCGGGAGCCCACCGCGACCCCACAGAACGGCCGCGCGCGCGAGATGACGCGAGGGGGGCGACGGTGAGACGGTCAAGGGCGCAGCGGGAGACGCGGGGGCGACCGAAGGCGGCGCAGACGAGGGCGGCGCGGAGGCGAGGGTGAGTGAGGGTGTGGTGGACGACTCGGGGCAGCGAGCGCCGTGGGCGACGCGGGGCTTATGGGCTTGTGGGCTTGTGGGGCGAGGGCGATGGTGACGCGGGCGAGGGATGAGGCGGCGAGGGCGTGGTGGAGAGGAGGGCGCGGGCGCGAGGTCGGAGGGCGCGGGCGCGAGGTCGGGGGAGCGCGGAGGACGTGGAGGGTGGAGGGCGCGAGGTCGGAGGAGAGCGCGGACGGAACCTGGAAGGGGGAGGCGACGCGGGGAGCATAGGGGGCGGTGAGGACTCACCAAATGAGATCGGGGTCGCGGGAGCTCACCGCGGCCCCATGAAGACCCCCCCCCCCCCCCCCCCCCCCATGCCTGAGAACAGCCTCGCGCGCGCGCGCGCGATGTCGCTGCGTGGACGGAGGGAGTGCGTGAGGGGCTGGAGGGAGAGGAGGACGGGCGAGAACGCGCGCGAGACGCCACGTTCGAATCCGAACATAGCCCGATCGGGACGGATTCCCGCATCCAGACGCCAGACGCGGGCGCCAAACGCTCTCGAAGTGAACATAGGCCATGTTTTGTCTATTACTCGGTCAATTCTTGGCCAAATCACACAAGAATAATATCGTTAGAAAGATGCTTCAAATGGCTATCGAACAGCATAGGGTTTGTAGTACGTAAATACAAATATGAGCTATCACTCAAGAATCTGCGGATAATCCGTGGATCGAGCCGTAGATCCGCCAAATTTCAGCACCCTCGATCCGGAGCCGCCCGGCTCATGATCCCCGGCTCACGGCTCCGGATAATCGGCTCATGATCCGCCAAGTGAGCTGGACCTGCAAACAGCCTTACCGCAGAGCTATGGCGCAGAGGGACATCGAGCACGACGATCGGGCCCCCCGAAGCCAGCCACGCCGTAAGAAAGGCACGGGTGAACCAGCACTTGACTCCTGTCTTACGGTTTATGTACGTGGCATGCGCGGCCAAATGCGGCGCGCAACAGAATCCATTCGCTCAGCTCCCTGCATTCCACAACAGAAGCGTCCGGCTGGCAGGGGGGGGCCGAGCGAGATCGATCGCTATCTTGCGGCGTCTACCAGAGTACACGCTGACGATCCCCTCCAGTTGGTGGTGGGAATCGCCGCCGTGAAGGTGTATCCCCATCTCTCACGCACGGCGCTCTCTTACCTTACGATCCCTGGTGTGTGGTTACATCGTGGTGTCTCGAACCTCTGGCGGCTCGCTTACGGTCGAGGGTGCTCCCACAGTCGACGTTGAACGCATTTTCAGCAAAGGGGGCGGACACGTCCGCGACGGTTTGTCTGCCACCCGTCTATCCGGGCGCTTCGAGCTCGGACTCGTTCGAGACACCGACCTCTCGGGTCGCCCTTCGAGATGACGCGTCGGACGATCTGGAGGGTGGTTGGGAGCTCGTCGTCGTTGCGGCCACGTGCTGGTGCTGATGCAGTAAGAGTGGGACGACACTCGCTACCCTCGTCGAACCCTCGACCCTCGAGCGCCCTGGTGACCCTCTACGAAAAAACCCTGACCCTCGTATACGAGGGTCGTGACCCCCCCCCCCCCCCCCCCCCCCCCCGAGGGTAGGGGGTCAGGGTAAGCGTCGGGAGACCCGGGGGTCACCCCCTGCTACGCGCCAGCCCCCCGTGCCGCCGTGTCGCGCAGAAACGCCGAGGCGCGATCTCTCTCTCGCCTGCGTCTGTGTGGACGACGACGCGCGCCAGGTTCAGGGAGGCGCCCCCAAAAGTTGGCCCCTCTCTACCGGCGACTCCCCGGTTTCTCGACTCGAACCCCCCCGACTCTGGGCGCTCGGTCGGTCGTACGCCGCCCACGCGGGCTTCTGCCTCCGCGAAGCCGGCGGGAGCCCGGAACCCCTCTGAGCAGGCACGAGGGGAAAGAGCGAAGACCGTGAGACGGGATCCCACGAGTCCCCCCCCCCTCCCCCCCCCGGGCGCTTATTTGAGCGCCCGCGTCGGCGTCTCTCGCCACGGAAGAAGAAGGGCGGGGGGGACGCGTGAATCGCGGCAGCCGACGGAGAGAGAGAGACGCGGTGGGCTCGCGCGCGCGAGGGGGGGGGAACCCCTCGTGGTCGTGGACGCCGCCGCTCCTGAACCGTCGAGGGCCGTCGCGCGCGGCGACCTGCGGGACGCGCGTGGGAAGCGCGCGCGCGCGCCGAGGGCGGCGGCGAGCGACGGCACGCGCGCTTTTCCCACGGGGCGGCTAAGGCTCCCAAAGAGAGAGAGACGCAGAGAGCGCCGCGCCTCTAAAGGACGCGCGCGCGCGGGGGGGACCGCGGTCCACGAAGGCCCGGACCACGTTCGGAGGAGGGTCACGGAGGGTCACGCCGGGACGGCGGGGGACGGGACGTGCGCGCGCGCGCGCGACCCCCCGCGGAGCGCTGCGCGCGCCGGTCCCTAGCCCTAGGTCTGAAGCGGATGTGCTGCGTGATGTTCCGCGCGAGGTGACGACGCGCCCGATCCGTGAGCTTCC